CCCCCCCCCCACCCCGTGCAACGTCACCAGCATAGCACAACGTAGCATCCAACCCAGTGTGCAACGTTAACCTATAAGTGTGAAACGCAACGTCAAGATGCAACATAGACGCATACATATATATGGGAAAGTGCACAAAAACATCCAAAACGCACGTACGGTTTTAGAGCCGTTAGCATAAACAATGCAAACACAATGCAAAACCAATGCTGCAAAAAATGCACAGAAAACGCAAAAACAAGTCACCAAGAGAAGCGTTGGAATTCACAAAAATGCAAACAACATGGGAAAACACGCTAAACAAATGCAAAAAAAAAGGCACAAACAATGCAACAAAAATGCACCAAAAAAGCAAACCAAATGCAAACGAAAAGCAAAACAATTGCGATCAAAAACGTTCTGTTGCATTATATGTGCGTTTAGTTTTGTTTGCGATTCTTTTGCTGTTTTTTGGCAAGTTTTGTGCGTTTCCTTGGGAAAACGCAAAATTTGCCGCAAAAAACATGCCAGAAAAACATCGCACAAATATCGCGCATAAAACGCACAAACATCGCGAAAAACACACAAAAAAGGTGGTCTGTAAAATTTGGTTGTGCATGTGCATTTTGTGTGCGTTTTGGTCGCTATTGTTTTGCGTTGTTTAACCTGTTGTTTTGCGTGTTGTTTGCTTTTTTTTGCTTCCTTTTGCAAATTTTGTGCTTTTCTATATGCACTCTTTTTGACCAGCTGCCTTTTTCTTGCCTTTTTACTGCCTTTTTTTGCGTTTCCTGGTCATCATTTCTGAGTATGGTTTTGCATTTATTTGTGCTTTTTAAATGAATCCTTGAGATTTCAGAGTTATTTCAGAGTCAGGCTGTAAGGCACATCATAACATTAGTGGTTCAATGCTCGCAAGAACTCATACATGATCTCATTGTTATATGTTTCTTATATGATTCTTATATGTCATTCTTCTTTCAGGTTGATATCCACCTAAGATACGTGTCGTGTGCCAGCCATGCACGCCGTGCGCCACGACTTCCGTATGCCCAGGTTAGCAGCAGTGTAGAGTCCTTCTACAGAGGCGCTGTCGCAGGCGGGCGTTCTTTTGAATTTTATTGGCATCGGAGCCCCTATTAGCTTCTTGTCACTACTAGCTTCTTACTACTAGTAGTACGGCCAGGAGCCCCTAGTAGCGTCCTTGCTCCTAGTAGTAAGGCCAGGAGCCCCTAGTAGTTTTTTTCTGTCAGGATCTGTTTAAAAGAGTGAAAACCTTTGATTCACTGGTCGGTCAGATCCGCATCAGAATCTGTTGGACGCGAGAAAAATCCAGCGAGCGCCCGGACACCGGACAGGTCGGTTCGTTCCTTCCACCGGACAGGTCGGTTGGGCCATCGACAGGCCCTTCTTGAGGTCCAAAGGGATGAAATGCCCTTGTTAGTAATATCTATTTACTAGTAGTGCCCTTAGCTACTAGTAGCTTCTTGTTACTAGTAGTGATGCACTTGCTACTAGTAGAAATGCACTTGTTACTAGTAGTGTCCTTGTTCCTAGTAGCGATGCCAGGAGCTACTAGTAGCTTCTTGCTCCCAGTAGAAATGCGCTTTGCTCCTAGTAGCTTCTTGATACTAATGCACTTGTTACTAGTAGCAATAGCTGCGATCATCCGTCATTGGCGTCCTGTGTAGTCCAGTCGTGGGGCAGTCCAGATGATTGGATGATCCAGGTGGACTCACTTGTGACGTCGCATGTCCTTGGAAGTCTTCGTCCTTAAGCGTTTTCTATCATCCCATCGTATCCCATCTAAAGTGGTGAGACTGGATTTGTGCCATTCTCTGAAGTTTCTCAAAGAGCGCCACAGTTTTCATCTCCTGTGGCGCAGGGGTTTCCACTTTTCCTCCAACCTATAGTGGGAGGCTGGATGGTCCCGAATGGAAACAACATGCCTGCTGGCCATGAACCAAAACGCTTGAAGTTCCTTAGTATCAGCCTCGCTCTCACTGAAACTTGGGTTTGTGGATGTTCCTTGCCTTTGTGCTTCATCACCTTTCTTTGGGGCTCCTGGTGAACATTCTCTGGGATTCAATAGACCAACCCTCCAGTTGGGGATCGCGACCTGCACCCAGGAGGGGTCTTTGGCTTGGTCTTTGGCCCCGAAACCGTCCGGGGCGCAGGGGCGCTGGGAATGCGGAGGTCTCTGGCTCCAAAACCGTGTCCTGTGGAGTACTGCGGGTTTTGGAGTCTCTGCCGCCTTTTTCTTCTCCCTTTGATTTTGTTCTGCCCAAATGCTTGGGATTTGGAGTCTCAGTTTGTAGCTTTGAAAGGACCGGAAAGGACCGTGTTCAACGGAGACACGGGCACCTCTGTTGAACACCAGGTCATGCATATCTGATTTGCCCGTTTCAAGAAACAGCTGCCAGGCTGGAGACACTTGGTCGGAGAAGAGCTCGAGCGAAAAGCACTTTAAAAAGCCATCCATGGGACTGGAGTAGTTACAAACATTAACCCCATGAAAATGACCCATCCATATGTACGTAGGTAACTATGTATATAACTATTCCCATGGACGGTCTGGGACACCAAACTTGTTGGGGATGTTCACTGAGTGGACTGGATTGGCCAAATTGAACACTGAACACAAACGGTCCAAGAACCCAAGCGGACGCAGGTCCAAGAGTCCGATCATGGGATCTGACCCTTCAGAACCCTGGAAGATTGAACCTCCTTAGTAGTCTATTTCTGTTGATTTGTTCAGCGGCCAAAACAGCCCTTTGACTTATCCACAGGCATCTCAAGCTTTTCCAATCAAACCTCCACCTTTCTCGGACCAACTTCCAGGACTGGAACCCTGCGCAAACCCTCGCCCAAACCCCCAACCGAACACTGAGGGAGTGGGCGTGGTCGCTCACCTCATGGCGCCCTTCCGACCAGCGCTTTTGGCGGGCTCTTGGCGCCTGGTCGCAACGCGAACTGGGTGCTGGAAGCGCGGAAGCGCGCTTGATGCTGTGCGGAAGCGCGCTGGAGGGTGTTTTTTGTCCATCTGTCCAGTGGTCGGAGTTCATCAACTTGAGGAAATTTGGGTGCCCAATCAGAGATGTATAGATTATACTTGGTACAGATGAGTTAGGACCTTGGTGGTCGGATGAGTTGGGACTTGCCTCGGTTAACTCCTAAGTGTTATTGAACTCATGTGTATTGGGATGGTGGACAGGCCCTATATATATATAAACTCAAGAGATGGGAAACACACAGGGGAACCCTGCCTGACAGAGTCACATCACAATTGTCGGAACAGGTTTCGGACACAGTGTTTGTCATGTTTGTTCACTGCCCCAGGCTCATGAGCTAGGAATTATGTATGACAAAATGGTCCAAAAGTACCTTTCCACATGAGATAGGACAAATGGTTCTTGGTATACCTCCGCTAACTCCTAAGTCGTGAGCACACGGTATAGAAACACTAGAAACCCTGTCCGACTCCTTGTTGAAACCAACACGTCTCACCCACCTACACCAGGAAGAGAATCTTTCAAAACCAGCAGGTTGGAACGTCGTTTCTTCAGGGCCAACCTTTGGCTCAGCTCCTAATATGTTCACCCCGGAGTGGAGTTGCAAGAGGATATCGGACTAGTCCTAGAAGAATGTGCAAGCCCAAAAATCTCAATCGAACCGAAGGTGAACAGTCTTTCACAGACATGCAGAGTGGCTCACCAGATCTCCAACCTGCAGAGCAGCAGTACAGGAATGTGAGACAGACAAGAATGTTTTCATGACACTGATGAGCGACCTCAGGTGTCTCCTGACCTCATTCTCCTCGTGTGTCGGGAGCCACAGACGATTCCGGATTTAGTGCACATACTTTCAGGAAGACCAACAAGCTCTGTCGATTCTTCTCAGAGAGCACCTAAAAAAGAGTCAGATACCGGTCATTTGCGATGTGTTGCAAGTCACAATCCACAAAGCATCGCTGTAAACACAGGGTGTTCCGGAACTCACCACTGCTCAACCAACGGCTTGTTGCGCAGTTTGTGGCGCCGGCAACCAATCTACCCTGCCGCCTTGAGACAGGTTTCCGCATTGGCATGGCGTGACCGTTGGTGGCCGCAATGGCATGTGTTGGGAGCACCAGGTGTCATGTCGGACACCGTATTCCCTGGACCCAACGTCATTCCTTGCGTGAACAAATGGGACATGTCCTATTATAACAGGCACGACTGCGCCCACTTTTAGGAGCCATGAACGGAGGGTCCAGGACACTTCAGATGGCAAACCCCGGTATCGCCAACATTGTCCACCCAGTGATCGGGCACTTGAAACATCGTATTTCCTCTGCACCGGTTATTGGCAACGACATGTGAGTCCACCAGGTTAGGTGAGTCCCCCACTTGGGCTTTTTTCGGGCTCGGACCACAATGCAAGTGACAAGATTTGAGGGAACTTGGCGAACGTCCAAGACCCGAGGACGGCACCCATATTCCTGAATGTCTCCACAAGCCGGCGTAGACTACTCCAAAAGAATCAATCACCCACTGATTTGGATTGTACGACCTCTTCACACCTACATTGGGGTCGTTTTAAGATGTTATTAAGTTGTTGTAAGGGTCAATGTAGGTAAATATTCCAAGCCCGATTGAATTTTGGGGGAACATCTTCCCGGTGCCGGCAGATCCACGTCCCTGGCGTACCGGAGGCGCTCTCGCGGGATGGGCTGCCTTTTCCGTGGAACGGAGCGTTGTCGGGGCTCTTCTCCGGTGCAGTGATCAGCTTGGTCAGCCGATGGCCACGGGAGCCTGGGTGGCTCAGCGGAGGGGGACGTCCAAGAACCGTGCGGAGGTCTATGGCATTGCGGGAAACTTTGAACTCAGGAATGCCCCCCTTTTTTTTGCTCCTGTATAGTATACAGACTTGAAAGAAGGTTTTTGTTATAAGAGTCATTGCAGTCCCAAACCTCATTGTTCTATGTCAAGAAGATATGGGCATCTACATAGGGGTGAAATCCGGCTCCAGGCAAACCCCGTGGGAGATGTTGGGCGGGGGAAGAGGCTGGCACAAGGGACCTAGCAACCTTCCAGGGTTTTTGACATAGTATTGAACTAGTTGTTTGTGTTTTTGCAGGAAGACTTATCACTTCAGACCACACAAATGGCATTCGTTAGACTGCTGTGGCTAGACATTGTATGCGTTGATTGATCAAATTGGTGGCTGTATAGGGGGTTGCATTCTGCCCATACCCCTTCAGCCATTCAGTGCCTTAGGTCTTTCATCGTTCTCTAAGCGTTTTTAATGGCTCGCCATGGCTGACCTGGCTTTGGTCTCCAGGTCCATTGCATGGACGATGGCAGGTAGTTCGGTGCTCAGTATACTGCTGGAGCCCCAGCGACGGAGTCCCGCGCCAGACGTCGCGTGAAACGTCCGTCACGCCGGACATGCGCCCGGTTCGTCGCCGGACATGCACCGGCTGGAGGTCCCACTATGCCACGGAGGGTCAGGGTGTGAAGGCGCCGATTTGGAGCAGAGGGTAGACAGACTGAAGTCACCCGGTGCATGCGAGACGCCCTGGACATGGCTTTGAAAACGGATCCACCAGCATGTTCCGATCCTGCAATCCATTCCTACTGTCGGTTTCTTTAGATTCAACAACATGCGTTGGCCTTGATTCATGGCCTTTGGTGGTCATTTTGCAGAGTGTGAAGTAGACAACCCAAGGACCTGTTGAAGAATAAACACACATCCATCATCCACAAGGGCAAAGGACAGGTTCCCGGTTAGCTGTTTCCTTGTGTTTTGATTGTACACTTTCTTGGCATGCCACATGTTCTGAACAGTGCAGGCATGCGTGTTGTGGAAGCGCAGCATGTCATGTCAGGCTAACTTCGTATCGCTGCAACAGAGTCACGCATGTTTAGTTTAGATTGTATATAGATCACAATGTTTTTTGCACATACTTTTGAAATAACTACATGTATGAGCCACATGTGTAATGAAGATACAGAAGGGAACAACATGTTTGCAAAAACACATCAACACACACAACAATTCTGATGGCAACTGCAAGGTTGTTTTTGCTAAGAGGTTGCACTACTACCCACAATTCTTCATGACTCAGGTGTCTCTGAAGGAATGCTTTTTCTGTGTGGCTATTTGCAGTCCATGTTCTTCCGTGTTCTGCGATCAATTGAACACGCTTTTGTTGGTTCCTGTTGTTTGAGAGAGTGGTGTTGCATAGTTAGAAGATGTATACTTGTAGGGGTAAACGCTTCTCGGAACTGAAACGTTCAGGTTGTTGGTAGTAGTTACCACATGTTGCCACCCATGAATTTGCACCCTGATATTCACAAGCAGAGTCATGGCCAAAGCTGCCACTTGGTGTCCGGTGCGCTGCCGATCACGCGGCTTGGCTATTTGGTAATTGGCTGCTTCAACAGATGGCCTGTGTCAGACCTGAGAAGCGTTCAAAAGCTTCCTTTGCATAAGTGTATAGTCAAGGCTCTCACATGGCAATTTTGGCGTAAGTAAAGCCCTGAGTTGCGTGAGATTGCGTAAGAATTCTGGTGCGTAAGGTTGTGTGCGAAAGTGCTGCATTGCAGTGATGTTTGACACCACACATTGATGTTTCCGTACTGAGATTGACTTCGACGGTTTGAACCTTTTACTTGTTAGAGGGGATTGCTGATTTGGGGATGACAAAGGGTAAGGTTACGGTAAGGTAGCAAGCAGTCAGATGGCTCAGGGGCAAATGAGCTTTGTGGCGCGTAAGGGGTGCATAAGGGGTGGATAAGTATACGGAGTGTGCATTCCGTTTCGGAACCGGCCCTCGTCATCCAAGTGAGTCGTTTAGATCCACACCGTGGGTTCGCGCAATTCTGCACAAGGTTCCCAGCGTAAGCTTTCTCGGAGCGCTCTTATTTGCGCGAAAAAGCTCCCGTTGGGAAGACCTCAGGAAAGAGCACGGAAGGTTTCTGCCAAGGCTTACGACTTTATCTAATGAGTAATTACAGTATAGTTGTTTTTACTCAAAGGGGGTTTTGGATTTGCAAGTATGATTCTAGGTTGCCACATCTAAGACGTGTGTCCCTTGAGCCTTTTCATGTGACCTTTTGAGTTTTGACCATGGTTGATCACAAGAAGGATAACGAGCGGCAGGAAGAAGAGGCAGAAGAGGAAGAAGAAGGAGAAGATGCACATGCAGAAAGAAGAGGACGCAGAAAGAAGATGCAGAATGAAGAAGAAGATTTAGCAGAATAACAATAAGATGAATCACAGAGAAGAAGACAAGGGGTGTGACGAAGAAGACGCAGAAAGAAGAAGAAGGAGAAGAAGAAGACGAAGAATAAGAACAACAACGAAACAGGACGAAGAAGCAGAACAAAATCATTTTACTTCGAGTGATCCCCACCATTACATTTCAATCATTTGTCTTGATGCCATAGTGAGGAGCATGTTGCCATAGTCGTTAGATGTCGTTAGTATTGTAGTTCTCGATGTTGCTTGTGGGTCCTCGGGTTGTGTGCTGTGGTTGTGTGCTGTGTTGTGGTTGTGGTTGTGTTTGTGGTTGTGTGTTTGTGGTTGTGTGTTTGTGGTAGTGGTAGTGGTTGTGATTATGTGTTTGTAGTTGTGGTTGTGGTTGTGTCTTTGTGATTATGTGTTTGTAGTTGTGGTTGTGGTTGTGGTTGTGTCTTTGTGATTGTGTGTTTGTACTTGTGGTTGTGGTTGTGTGTTTGTGGTTGTGTTTGTGGATGTGTTTGTGGTTGTGTTTGTGGTTGTGTGTTTGTGGTTGTGTGTTTGTGGTTGTGTGTTTGTCGTTGTGTGTTTGTGGTTGTGTGTTTGTGGTTCTGTGGTTGTGGTTGTGTGTTTGCGTGTGTGTGTTTGTGGTTGTGTGTTGTGTGTATGTTTGTGGTTGTGTGTTTGTGATTGTGTCTTTGTAGTTGCGTTTGTAGTTGTGTGTTTGTGATTGTATTTGTAGTTGCGTGTTTGTGATTGTGTTTGTGATTGTGTGTTTGTGGTTGTGTGGTTGTGGTTGTGTGTTTGTGGTTTTGTGTTTGTGGTTATGTGTGTGTGATTGTGTCTTTGTAGTTGTGTTTGTAGTTGTGTGTTTGTGATTGTGGGTTTGTGATGTGGTTGTGTGTTTGTGATTTTGTGTTTGTGGTTATGTGTGTGTGTGATTGTGTCTTTTTAGTTGTGTTTGTAGTTGTGTGTTTGTGATTGTGTTTGTGATTGTGGGTTTGTGATTGTGTTTGTGGTTGTGTGTTTGTGGTTGCGCGTTTGTGGTCGTGTGTTTGTGATTGTGTGTTTGTTGTGTGTTTGTGGATTTTATCTGGCAAACTATCTGGTTGAGGTCCAGCGGTGCACACTGCGATCGGATCCTTGCGGTTGAGGTCCAGCGGTGCACACTGCGATCGGATCCTTGCGGTTGAGGTCCAGGGATGCACACTGCGATCGGATCCTTGCGGTTGAGGTCCAGGGGTGCACACTGCGAGGGGATCCTTGCGGTTGAGGTCCAGGGGTGCACACTGCGATCCGGAGCTGGCCAGACAAGATCGGCGAAGCAGATTGGCGAGGAAGGAAGCAAGGAGGAAGGAGGAAGGAGGAGGACGAGGAGGCGGCGGAGGCGGAGGCGGAGGCGGAGGCGGAGCCGGCGGAGGCGGAGCGGAGGCGGAAGCGGAGGCGGAGGCGGAGGCGGAGGCGGAGGCAGAGTCGGAGGCGGAGGCGGAGGAAGAACAGCTGTGATAAAATCCGGCCAGGGCCGTGACCTTGCCGTAGGCTATCTCTCCTCCGTAGGAGAAAGGGGAGTCCCACCCCGCGGACATACCGAAGCTACCGCGCTTTACAGTGTTTTTGGCTTGTCCCATTTTTGGGCTCTTGCGGCGCAAGATGGGTCAACATGGCCCAACATAGGCCCAAATAATGCTGGAAATGCGTGCCGCACCGGGGTGCTTCGTCTGCATCGTGGGCGGATGCTGGGCTAACATGGGCCAACGTCGACCCAAGCTGGGCCAACAAAGCAACAACAACCACAACAACAACAACAACAAAAAGGTACAAACAAAAACTGCAACCCCGTTACACCACATCTTCTTTCTTTTTCTCTACAAGGGGTTTTTGACCCCCACCCCAAAAACAACCAGACAACAAGCACTTTACTACTACTACTACTATTACTACTACTACTACTACTACTACTACTACTACTACTACTACTACTACACCCCAATGGCAGTGTAGTCGATGTGGACAGTGCGCGGGGCGTGTGTGGAGGTGGAGGGGATGGAAACCCGGTTCTCAATCTATGCACTGAAAATCAGTCTTTTCTTGGAGACTCCTGGAAGTTGTTGGATTCCAATGGAACAATATGGTCGATTTAAACGCCTTCTTAGGGTCTATGAAACTCGTCCGAGGGTCATGCTACTGGTGATGCTTATTGTAACTGGTTAAGTAAACCCTGCAAAACTTCTACTTAGAACCTCTACCACATCCTAGAAACAAAAACTGCGACCCCGTGGTTGTTTTTTGGACCCCCCCCTCCCAAAAGATGTTGTTGTCTTTACCCCCCCC